ACATGACATTAACTAAGTTTTGTCTAACGCCAGAATTAGGATTATGTAGTAACTGCTTCAGGTTTTGCATAAATTCTTGTATCTGCAAACTATCATGGCCATTGGATTGACTATTTTTTGGATTTGTAGATTCCATAGAGTTGATACTTGAACTTGTTTCATGATTGCTACTATTTGACATCATTTTGCATAGTTTCACTAGTGTCAAACACAATTTCATCCTATTTTTTGTTCAAACCATTTTCATGATCTAAGTTAGTAATGTTATCCCACTGGACGTGCCAAAAGATTGTTGTTCCAAAATTTGTTGGGGTCGACGGATGTATCTCAATCGACAGACAGTTTTCAGACAATTATTTGTAAGGGGTTCAAATGTCTTGTTTTAAGATTTCCTTGAAAGAGAAACAATGAACTAACATATAGTACAGAGAACTAATAAAAAAAATTCATTTATTAATTTAATCGAAGGGCCTTCAATTACAGAGAAACTGAATAAATAGCCTTGATTGTATCAATAACTATCTCCTAAAACTAATCTAAAACTACTCTTAAATATGTCCAAATCGTGGGTCTTGTAGGGGTTTGAGTGTATCATTCATCTTCTCCACTACATACCCTTTATAGCCACTGTCTTCAACGATTTTGCTTACATCAATGGTTATTTGACTGGTAACCTCCAGTCAGTTATTCTTATTTTAAATATAGTTATGACTGATCATCTCCCGCATTTTTTCAAATTCTACCACGTAATACCTTCTTAGTGCATTCAGATTGCCAAATTTTAAAACATTGAATATTCTTGAAAATTAAGGGCCTATTTGATTTGCATCTCAAAAAACAGTATCTGAAAACTATTTTTGAAAAGAGTTTTCAGAAAGTGTTTTTAAAAAATTTTAGATTGCAAAACCTGTTTAGTTATATATTTTTCAAAATAGTTTTAAAGAACAAAAATTATAAAATTTGTTTGGACAATAATTCATAATTCCCACCTCTCACTTCAACTCTTTGTCTCTCTCTTTCATTGTGCATCAAGAATTGCTTAAATCAGTTACTATGCATCAAGACCCACAACTAGCACCGAATCACTGAAACCTACAACCACCACCGAAACTCACAACCACCCAAAAACCCACAATCACCATTGAAACACTGAAACCCACAACCACCACCAAATCACTGAAACCCAGAACCATCACCGAAACCCACAACCACCACCAAAGACAACAACACAACTGCTGGGTAACAACCACAACAAACAGAGAGAGGGGGAACGACCGAGAAAGAGATAGTGAGTATGGTAGAGAGAAATACCTAAGTGACAGAAGTATTACAAGTCTTCAATTGTAGCCTCGACTTCAACTATGAAAGAGAGAGAGAAACATATAGGGAGGCGGATGACAGGGAGGGTTGATTATGTTTGAGAGAAACAAGGAGACATGAAGGAGAAAAAAAAAAAAAAGGAAGCCTATACTAGTTTTGCTGCTAAGGGGACTCGAAGGGAAGACCTCATTAAATGATTTTGTTCCCTGTGTTTTCACAATTTCCAAGATAAAACTCAGAAAACAAGACAACCTTGTTTTCTATTTCTTTTCTCCAAATCTCTTTTTTCCCCACAAATTTGAGAACAAAAATGCTAACCAAATTAGTTATAAGTGTTCTTGAGATTTTGAGAGCAAAAAACAGGTTTGCAGATGCAAACCAAACACCTTCTTAATATTTTATATGCAAACAAATATATATATATAGAGAGAGAGAGAGAGAGATTTTAAAATAAGACTGATACCACAGAGATACTGTGTTGAACTTTATTTTGAGCCTTGATTTTAATGTTAAGTCCAATAGAAAGAATTCAATTTATTGGGCTGGATCTGTGGAAGTCTTTTTGAGAGGCAAAGGCATGTATGATCACCTAGTATTAGAGAAGCCTAGAAAGACAGATTCACGTAGTCTTTGGGAGCAGGAAGATAATCAAATCATGTCCCTCATGCTGACTAGTTTTGAACCTAGTATCGGCTTTACTCTATTGTATCTCCAGCTATCTATTCTATCGGGGACATGGCAAGCGAAATGCACCCAAACTCATAGGTAATGACGTTTTCGAGCTACCACATTCATGCATGCCGCAAGGGATCATATGCAGTTTCCCCCGTCTACTTGTTCTAGCGAGCGCGTGCAAGCGGCCAAGACGTACATCATACAAGATGTCACTCATTTCCTCGTATGCTCTCCCCATGTAGCCCTCACATAGGGGAGAGAGCTATGAGTCCCCCTCATTCCCACTAGAATAAAAAGAAAGAACTTACCACTAATTTGGAATTCTTTAGAGCATGGGGTCCTCTCAAGCTGCGAGGTCTGTCCCTTTGATAATTTACAACCATTGATTACAAATAAGATTTTTTGGTACCATAATTAAGACCCATTCCTACCACACTATCCTTGGGAGGGCTTCACACCATTGACTTTAGAGTAACTCCAACCCTGCTCAGCAAAATAGCTACTCAAAATATATTTAAATATTGAATTCTTTATTTTAGCTATCCATTTTTTAAAATTCACTACACCAATGCTCTTTATTTTAGCTAACTACTCAATTAACTTTAACTAACTTTCAATAATTCAAAAATGCCTAATTTTATCTCAAACCTAATTTTATTTCAGACCTAAACTTTAAATATCTCAGACCTAATTTTATTTTATTTTTTTGATGGTTCTCAGACCTAATTCAAAAAAGTCAAAAAATCCCAATTCGGCAAAGGACGCAAAGCGACTGAAGGAAGAGAGCAGCTTCGCCTACAGTGTGTGTCATTTTTCAGAAATGGAGGAAGGAAAACATACCTGGTAGGGAAGGAGGTAGAGACACTAAAGGGAGAGAGGGTCAAGCAGCAACTGGCGAGCAATTGGCCTCTCTAGATCTGGCTACGATGAAGATCTCCAGCTATTTTGGCAAAGAGCTTGGCTAGTGGGTTGGAGCCAGGGGCGGAACCAGAATTTCTTTTTTGTGGGGGCAACATCAAGTTAAAGAGAATTGGAGGCAACCATCAAGTTAAAGAGAATGATTACTCAATAATTATTAAAGTTCGTTGCATCTAGTGAACATATTTATTATCTCAAAATTTTATTCTCTATAAAAAAATATTTCCTAATCTAACACCTTCTATAAAATAATTCTTTATATTATTTTTTTTACTTTCAAAGATTTCACATATAAATACACGTAAAAAAAATGATAGCCGACTAAGAAAAATTAATATAATTTTTTTTTAAAGTATTAGAATAAAGACAATTTCATAAAGAATGCTATTTTGACATATCATTTTGTGAGTGTGCTTGTGAATGATAAGATTTTGACTCATTCGAATGACTATTTGTCTTGAAAACCCTATTTTGAATCTAATCTAATTATTCAACTGATTTCGTTTTTTTAATCCATATTTGAATCTATTAAATATTATGAATTTTATCAAAAATCCATTCTTTTATATATATATAAATATTATGTGTCGCATTGTAATTTTAATTCAATTTAATTGTTTAGTTTTATCAAATATTTACTTATACATATTTGTGTATGCATATCAAATTAAATCAAAGTGAATTGAATTGAATCATTATTAGATCAAATTTTTTTATGCGCCCAAATCTAAAATCTTAGAAAATGATGTAGTATATTTGATCGAAGTGAATTGAATTGAATCATAATTATATCAAATTTTTTTATGTGCCCAAATCTAAAATCTTAGAAAATGATGTAATATATTTGAACTTAGATAATTGGTCAAAAATATATATGTATGTCTTAATAATCAAATTCGGAGAAAGATTGATTCGGTAACTTAAGTGAGTCATTGTATAAGGAATAAAGACAATTAGAGATTAAATAAAATATTGTGAGATTAAGTCTGTATGAGCGAACTTTGAGTCTAAATTTTTAATGCATTAAAAAAAATGAGTGGGGGCAAGTTATTAAAAAAAATAATTTTTATTATAATTTTAAATTATCCCTACAAATTTTTAGAATTTCGGTGGGAGCAATTGCCCCCACCCTGCCTCTTCCCCTGGTTGGAGCACCAATTTTGTAGTTTTGCTTGCCAAAATATCTAAAAGGGCCGAATATCAAGCAGTCTTAGAGTTGCTTTTAAACGTAGAAAAATGAGATTATTAATTTTTTAGAGCGTTGAAATGAATATTTCAAATCTTTGAGGGATAAAGTGTCGTTCGTCCAAACCAGTGTTTTAAAATCCGACCTGACCCAGCGGCTTGAACCGGTCATTAAACCGGGCCGGTTACTTAATTGGATCGTTTTAGCATAAAACCGCTAAACCGGACAGTTCTTGCCTAAGCCGTTCCACCCGAACGGTTTTTGACAAACTGGGGGGGTCAATTAAAGGACTATAAAAGCCAGACATTTGGGCATTTTTGCCCTAATAGTTTTCCACGTTGCTTTTCTTCTACTGTGCCTCTCTCTCTCTCTCTCTCTCTCTCTCTTAGTCGAAGGGTTGAATGAATCAATGAAGTGCAGATCTGCAGTGGACAGGAGGAGGAGGCGGCATCCACCATCATGTCAGTCGATACTCCTTGACGATTCTCTTCTCGTCCTTGGATCTTAACGATTTGCTTCACTCACTTAGCAGGTACATCACCGTTTTCGCTCTTTGTGTTTATGTGTGGTATGCGTAGAGCACTCACTTTTTTTTGTTTTTTTGCTGGTAGAAGGTTTGGATAGTTTGAACGATAAGAGAACTCAGTAATTTTTAGATTAAAGAACAGATTGAAGTTATGAGGCTCATAGCTTTGTTGTCGGGCCGAATTTTAAATCTATGGTCCAAACTACTCCTCTCTTTCGACAAAGCCGGTCCCACACGGTCTCTGGCGCAACGAAAGGTCAAATATCCAATCTCGTAGTTAACTTCCGAGTCTACCATTGAAAACCCTTATCAACCTCAAACACCCAATTGGACACTGAGAAGAACCCAATTATTCATCCAATCTCTGGAACTCCAATGGACCAACACCCCAAACCCAGAAGCATTCTTGAATCATTAGGTGAAGAAATCATTAGGATCATAACACCAGTCTCGATTTGCATGTTCTTGGTGGTCATTCTGGTCTCAATATTGAACAACGACTCCACCTCTTCATCATCATCCGGATCATCAATCGCCACCATAGCTTACACCGAGAACAGCTCAGACTCGACATGGGACAAATTTAAAGGTGCCCTTTTGAATTCACTTGTGTTTGTTGCTGTTGTCACTGTTGTTACCTTCCTTCTGGTCCTACTGTTCTATCTCAGATGCACTAGGTTCTTGAAATACTACATGGCTTTCTCTACTTTCCTTGTTTTGGGATTCATGGGTGCTGAAATTGCTTTGTTCCTGATCCAAGACTTCAGCTTTCCCATTGATTGCATTACTTTTGCGTTGGGTTTGTTTAATTTCACTGTTGTTGGTGTATTGGCTGTGTTCATGTCAAAGATGGCCATTTTTGTTACACAAGGGTATTTGGTTGTTATTGGAATGCTGGTTGCTTATTGGTTTACTCTTTTGCCTGAATGGACTACTTGGGTGCTTTTGGTTGCCATGGCATTGTATGATCTGGCTGCTGTTTTGTTGCCCGGCGGGCCGTTGAGGCTCTTGGTAGAGCTTGCAATATCTAGGGATGAAGATATCCCAGCTTTAGTCTACGAGGCCCGGCCAGTTACTCATCCTGAGTTGGATCGAAGGGGTGTAGTTCATAGGCGGGTATGGAGAGAGAGAAGTGGTGTTGATCCTGATTTGAATTACAGCTTGAATAATGGTTCTAACTTGAGTTCAAATGCCAATTCTGCGTCCAAATCGAATCCTATTATTGGTCCTGTGGTATCTGTTGGAAGTGATCAGAATCAGATGCAATTGGCTAATGGTGAAGAAAGCCGGGTCTCTAGAGTGGATTCTGAGCTCTCTGCACCATTAATTGAACACAGAATAAATGTGCAGATGCATTCACATCAAGACACAGTGTCGAGTGAAAATTTGGCACTTGAGGGAATTGGGTTGGGAGCATCCGGTGCTATCAAGTTGGGACTAGGTGACTTCATCTTCTACAGCGTGTTGGTTGGTAGAGCTGCAATGTATGATTTTACAACAGTCTACGCATGTTATCTTGCTATTGTAGCTGGTCTTGGTATTACTCTGGTGCTACTTGCGTTATATCAGAAAGCTTTGCCTGCTCTTCCAGTATCTATTATGCTAGGCGTGCTATTTTATTTGTTGGCTCGACTATTACTTGAAGCTTTTGTTGTACAATGTTCAGTGAACCTCTTGATGTTTTAGAAATATTACCTTTTTAAGCTGCTGGTGATGATTAAATTCATGGTATGTTGGTGCAACATGTTTGCTTCTGATCAGATGTTCCTATAATAGTAATTTGATTTTGCTCATGTTAAAGTCATGAATATTTCTGCTTTACAACAGAGATTGTTGCTTGAGTGAGCAATTTTCCTATTGGAGCTCACATTTTGGCTTTGAGGTCATAGCTTCTCCAATGAAATTGGCTGAGATCTTAAAATAACCAGTTGTAGCATATATACATATCATGAATGTTATCCTCAATGGGGGTTTTTAGTGTTTGGGCAAAAGAAGAGGAAACCAATTGGGGATATAGTAAGATGCTTACCAATTTGAAGTGCATATGGGAAACAACATTTGATATGGAAGCTGGTAGTCGGAGTTTGCATAATAACTGGAACATGATCAGGGTGATGGTAGAAATCTAACCTTCAGTTGAGTAAATATAGGAAAAGTTGCACAGGCTGTGCTAGATGGCTTATGAAAATTGTTAGCATTTTCAATGGTAGGGAAACATAGAATTTGCCTCAGATTGTTCAATTCCGGAGAGATTTCACATGAATTTCAATGGTTGTGGAAACAAGAAACATGTTGGTTGGATTATAGTTTAGATAAAAAAAGGTTTCTGTAAGCTTTGTCTTTGTAAAATGCTATAGATCCAGAATTCATAACACAGTCATATATGTATATCAGTATATGTTCACAATTCAACAGAATCTGTCATTGATAGTTTAACCTTAATTCCCATCTTTTATTAGGATGATAGTCATTGCTGAAGTTGTAAACACGGATCAGACCCACTCACGATCTACTAAGGGCAAGTAGCTTGATATTAGTTCAAATCCAATTTGCTATAAAGTAGCTTGATATTAGTTTAAATTCAATTTGCGATCTTTAGCTGGTCATGGTCATAATGTGCTGTTTTTCTTGGATTCGTTGGAACCTTCTTTTTCAAAGCCCAGGAAAGGTAGTGTTTAAAGAGTTACAAGTCCGTGGGTCAAGCAAGGGTTGGTCGAGCTTCCTAAACCTAAGAGACCAAATGAGGTGGGACGATTAGGAGATCCCAAATACTGCTAATTCCATCGGGTTTTTAGTCATCCGATGGAAGATTGTTGGGGGAAAAATTTTTTACCAATGAAACTAATTCCTAAAGTAAGCAGTTTCCAACTAAAACGAGGGTTTAAGAGGCTAAAATTGTTCGATATCACTATTTTTCAAGGGCAATAGTTCTGCTTTGAGTATATTGACATTGTTAAAGTCTTTGCCTAAGTGATTATCAGGTAATATAGGCCATTCTCCACTATATTGTGACCCTTGCCATTGAGTAATGTATTGCTTGAATTTACCTCCAAACACTCTGAAAAGATCACTTTTACAATTCCAAAGTAATTATTTACTGAATGGGAAAATTTTCTTAAGTCACAGTAGGTCAACAAAACTTGAGTACCTCAATTCTCAACTAAGAGGCATTTAGACTACATATTTTCTCACATTCTATGATTAAGTATTTCCTGGATGAAACTCGGAATAAACCCACTATAATTCTTCCATCTCGAGGGTATGGGCTTTGTCAACTCAAGCTTTTTGTGTGTCACTCCTTTAGGGACGAGAAATCGTTTGAATTCGAGGAGAAATCCTTTCGCAATCACTAAAATTGGTGGTAATTCCTCTGCACACTATCCCCCTCCTCACTCTCTCTCTCCACCATGAACAATATGATGCAGGGTAGTGTGGATAAGAAGTAAGATTAACAACATAAACTTTAATCTGTTGAGTATCGTAATAATACTAAATTAAATGTCGTCAAAAGCTTTATTGATTCGCGAAGAATATCAAGTCAATTGGAAGAAAGAGAACTCGTCTCTTAGTTTATTTCAAAATAATTCAAAGTCGATAAATCAGTTTTTAATATACTATAAATACTATATTTTAGTCGTTCTAAATTATTAGAAAACTCAAGTAAATACGAAATATTAAATAAATACTCTAAACAACAGGATAAAATATAAAAGTGCTTAAAAAGTGATCTAAACATCATTTTTTGGTTTAAAAATAATAGGATGAAAAATAAATGTTTCAATCTTGCTCAGATTGTCTAGAGCTTTCTGAAATGTGGCGTTAATAGATTTTTTGACACTGTCACTCAAAATCAATCTGGACTGAAGCCCGATCAATACTATTTTTAACGATCTTAGTCTGTCATGTACTCTTGTACTAAAGTGCTGGATCACAATTCCTGCACTTCACTATGTAATTTATGTATGACCTTTGCACCACCTCCAAATCCACTCAAAAGTCTAAGACTGGCCGAGAGTAGTACTTGAAAGTTGAACCAATGGGGTCAAACTGATTAGTTTCCTTTCCTTCACACTTGAGTTAGAGAGATTGACTTCATTCCTATCATAGTTTACAGGTTGATATCTTTATGATTTTTCTTGTCCCCCACTAAAATGTTATGGTCAAAGTAAGCAGGGAAAAGTGACTGGAGAGTCTGAATATGAGGGTTGGCAACGAAGAAAACTGAACTTATTACCTAGAGTATTTGGATAGAGATTTTTAGTACTAGAGTCGAATTTGAGCAAAAAAATTCTTACTCAGATTTAAATTTGAGTAGTATTCAAATTTAAATCTCAAGTTTTGAAGATCCCAACTTAAACTCAACTCAAATTTCAGCATCGAGTTGTATAAACTATGATTTATATGGGTTCGAAATTTTAATATTATTGCTAAGTAATACCAATCTAAGCAATACCATTCAAATAGATCAAAGAGCTATGATGTTGGATTATGGAATATTCATCTTGACAAGAAATTATCTATATGATAAAATATCTATCACAAACAATTAGAAAGGCTGCAGCTTAATTAGGTAGAGCACTTCGTTTACACCTGTGCCAATATTTTTTAGGGGAGTCCATCATGCAATCAAAAGAATTGATCTTATTGAGAAATTGATGTCTTACTCCATAACTTTGAGGGCGAACAAGAGAACAATAGCCAAACAAATGGTTTGGTCCGATTCAGGTGCCTGATGGATAACATTCTGGTTAAAGGATTTTGTGTTGAAGACGGATTTAAGTTGAACTTAGGTTAAGGATTTTATAACCCGGGTCCAAGTTTCTTGTCAACACGTCCAACCCAGCTTTATTGCCATTGGGATGAACTGCAATAGCAATCGTCACCAGTTACTAGGCACTAGAGGTGTCAAAATATGACAGGATCTGTTAATACGATATGAAATTACAAAGTTTGGGTCTTCCTTAAGCCATATTTTTTGTAAATGAGTGAACCTAGCACGACACGATTAATAAACGAATCGGATATAAGTGAAATCAATCAAAAAAAAATACACGACACGACTCGTATATATACCGATTATAAACGATTCAATGTTTTTTATTTCTGTACAGCCATATAACTCCATGATCAGTAGTCTCCCATGTGCCTTTTGCAGCAATGAATGTCTTCCTAACTGTTCCAGTTGCAATAACAAATTGCAACGCAAGTTGAATTTAGGACCTTTTGGCCAGGAAGATCTGAAGTCACTCTCTTGCACTTGGCCAATCTGTGTCCAAATAACTTGTCCTGTCATTTCCATAAGAAACCTTTCTGCTTTTTTAGTTTCTGTAAAGCTGATGAAACTCAAAACATCAAACACTATGACAAGACCCATGTGTCAGGAGAGCATGGAGACAGAAATAGAGAGGAGTAACTTCAATATTAGTGAACAACATTTTTGTTCAAATATTCATGACTATAAGCACAAATCTATATATATGTATTACATAGTGACAACATCACAGAAAGAAAAGGATAGACAGAGAGAAACAATACTCCAATAAACATGCACCACGAAGTTTAGACTGCAGTCACATGATATAAACACATTTCTTTCTATAACAAACTACAAAGGAAAAGCATGAAGCAAGGAGGAAGGAGGGAGGAAGACAAAAACTCGGAATCTATTCGACTTTCACCTCCTTCGGGGATGGTGCAAGGATCTTTGAGACCCTTCATAGAGATGCAAGATATAATTCCCGACATCTTCTTCAGTGTACTTAATGTGCTTGTCACCGATAGAAGTGGCAATTCTACCAATGAAGGCCCTGTAGGCATGGACTACTTTTAGTGAAGCTGAAATTCGCAAGTCTTCCTGAAGCCGACGATCTGGAACAGACCATCCTGTCTGACATTTGTATACATCCTCAAAGGAAATACAGAAACCCTTGCACCTCTCCTTAAGAATTGCCTTCCCCCTGGTCCCATCATCCATAAGCCCAGAAAGTACTGAGCTCCAAGTGGCTCTCTCATAGCATGTCGCGTGCTGCTGGAATTTCCTAATGTGCTTCCGGATCCATTCTTCACCAAAATATGTCCCAACTTCAGAGCCATTAACCTTTTGAACCATGTAGTGGATGTTGTTCATCATAAAGATATGCTTTAAAGCGACATCTCCATATAAATTAGACTTCTTGTCCAGGTTGGCTTCTAGAATGGATGTCAGGAATCGCAAACGGCAAGCCATTGGGCAAAAATTGTAGGAAGAAATGCCCTGCACGTCCGCATTAACAAGTGATTCCATATTCTCCTCCTCTTGCTCAAGAAGCAAATTCAGTGTATCACCATATTCTGCAAGGAGGTTGATGTAATTCATGACATACCTGGTGAGATGGTGAACACCACCTTTTGGGAAAGGTGTTATTGAAGCATCTGAGGCAATTCGATTCCCAAATTTGACAAATGCTGCCCTTGCAGATTCACCTAATCTCGTTAAAAGCTCGTGAAACTCGTTTCTGATACAGGAACCAGCCTCATCTGAGAACAAAGCATCAATATCTTGAAGAAGATCCGCTAGAACATCATATATATCAAGTAAGCAAGAAAGGCTTTCTGGCTGATACGTTCTAACCACTATGGCTTCACCAAAATTCAAGAGGCATAAAATAGAAGATTTTGAGGTCTCAACGAAACAAGTTAAGCTAGCAGATCCATATTCTCCCAAGACTTGATCAAAGAGTCGTTTCTCATTGGCAAGATAAAACCGAATGGTGTTCTTCATTGCCCTCAGCCATTTATTGATCCTGCTATACAAGCTCTCCCACTCCATTTTCAACACATCCTCGATGCTGAGCATGTCCACATCAAGCATCATGAGATAATCATCCAATGCATTTTTCCAGAAGCTAATGAAAGCTTGGCAAAATTCCTGGCCAAATCTTGAGGCAAACATTACATTAGCAATAGACTTGATATCAATAATTGCATGCGAACAGACCAAATCAACCATACATTCCTCAGATTCAGTAGTACTGTTTTCTCGCCGAGGTGTGTCCTCAACTGAATCATCCCCAGTTGAAACTATTGATTTTTCATCCACAGCAGTCTCTTCACAAGAACGGAAAGACAAATGTTCAGGATCAAAAGATTGCCTATTCCGAGCAAGAATGTCGATCAATTCTCCCTCAAGCCTTGCCATTGCCACCTGCAAAACACTATGAGCTTTATTAAAGAGTTCTTTCTGTTTCTCATTTCTGTTTACAAGCAAGCTTTCCAAACTTTCTGTCAACTTTCGAACTTCATCAACAACCTGAAGATACTCTGAAGCTTCCTGAGGACCCAAATCCCATATCATGGACTGGTTTGAATGCCATTTCATGATCTTTTTCTCGGCATTTTTTAGCGTTTCTTCTAGCTCAAGAGTACTTAAAGCTTCACTCTCACTAATCTTGGTCATTGTAGACAGATGGAGGTCAAGATCGACTAGTAATTTTCTCATATCATTATTCAGGTTCCTACTTGCCGCTAATGCCTTTACAATGTGCTGAGCCGCAGCAAACACATGTTGTTCTCCATCATTGACCGGAATCATAGATTCACAATCCCCCATGATAAATTTTTAAAAATAAATACAGCCTCCACCGTACACCTTGAATAAGCCCCACAAAAATTGTGAAAATCAAAACAGACCCAGTTAAGTTGGATGGTACCCGAATCACTTGTTTGAAAAACCTAAATCCCCTAATGGAGAGACACAAATCTATTTGACAAAGAACCTCCCAATGAGGAATTATGCATTGTCAATCAACAGAAGCTGATAAGAACAATAAGGGGGGAATTCAATCCAGCTAAATCAACAACAATGGAGGTAGAAGATACCAAGACGCCTGATAATCCCCCGCCTAACCCAAAATTCTACCGTGATGTTACTGGAAAAGGTCTAAATACACAAACCCAGACTGTCAAGAAGTAAAGAGACCATTCAGACCCACAAATTTAAGCACTGCCTCTTCCCAAAAATGAGGAATCAAGAAGATGGGAGATAGGAAACAACCTGCAAATGAATGATACAAGAGATGATGATTGCAGCTTCCCAAATCAGAAGAATACTTGCTATAAGTGATTAAAAGCCTAAAGATTCAAAGTTGAACTAGAGTAGTGGCACCCAATTCAGACTATCTACAAAACAAACCCATCATGGTTTCTTTCTCCTAACCCCTTTCTTGTCCATTGACATAAAATGATCAGTATTCATTTGAAAACTGAAACCAAAAGTCAAATTTTCCAACACAACTAAACAATCATCTAATCAAGACCCAAATATGAAAATTAACAAATTGACAAAGCCAAAGACCATCAACCCAGAAATTGAACAAATATTGAATTACAATCCACAGGAATCAAGCACAATAGAATCAGATATATGATAGAAACCCGAATTTGATGAAGTAAAACTGAAGCAAAAATAATTTAATGTCAAGTTTGAGAGAGGAGCTAACTTGGACCTCGATCTGTTGGATTTCTTGAAATCACAAAATGGGCAATTTGGACACAAAAACAAATGAAGAAGATGGTAAGCAAAACCACATTTTTACGCGTTTTTCTCAACTGGGAATTGTCTATGGAAAGAGGGATAGGAAGTGGGAGAAAAATCTTGGGTTTTACAGTCACGAGATTATTGTATAATAGTGCAATATGAAGAGAACTTTCTAGTGGATTGACATGAGGAAAATCAAATGCTAGTAAAATAGGAAAAATAAAATTTGATAGCTGAGAGAAAGTCAAGCTGAAGGTTCGTGGGTTTGTATGTTCATTTAAATATGATGAGCAAAATTTCTCTGCAAGTTCTGTAGTCTAAGTCCATGTATTCCATTGTTGTTCTTGTCAACTTTTTTATTTATGGTAAATTTTTCTTAGTATTTGATGTGACACAACTATAAGTGAATTACACTTTGCACCTTCCAAGATTTAAAAATATTTATTTTACATTTTCAAATATTAAATTTTTCACATTACATTCTCAATGTATTAAAAATACTATAATATGACCCTTTTATTAATTTTCGTCACTCATGATATCAATGTCAATAGGATAAGGTTTGATAGAATAAATAACGAAAATTAATCACATTGTAATATTTTTATCTTTAAGGATATAAAATAAAAAAAAAAATTAAATCTTTCATAGTATAAAATGATACACTCCCTAACTATAATAACTCGTGGGATGCAATAAAAAACTTATTACTCAAACAAATATTGTGGATAAATTCATAAAAAAAGAAAAAAAAATATGTTGAATGTAATACTATTTAGGGTTGATAATTTTGATATGAGGCCGAGTTAGTTGACTAAACCATGATGCGAACCGCGAATTTGAAAATAATATGATTTGTTAATACTAATATTCTTTGCTAATATGAATATTCAGCAGGTCGACTCATTGTAAAATAATAAAGTCTTGGTTTTGGCACAATAAATCTGTTTAATATGTATTATACAAAGAAAATGCATGACATTTTTTGTGTCTTGGTTAGTGCTATATGAATTCTGATAGAATTAGAAGATGAAGTAGATTTCTAATTTATGAAGAACCATTAAATAATAGGTTTGACTAAGAAAAAAAATGTTTCAAGTCCTATTCCTATTAAATCATGGCTTATCATTTTCTTTGATTATTGCGAATAACTATTCATCAATTTTCTTCATTAGTAAAATAATAAATTTTTAGTTTATCATATCTTTAAGAACACTTCATCTATTATTTAAAATATCAGTGATATCTCTTCTAGTTTATATTCAAACATCACTGGCATCCCCCGTTAACCCATAGTTTCTAACCAAAAAAAATTCATCTAAATACCAAAATTGCCCCTACGTAAATCTTCAACAATCTTTCTACATAAAATTCGATTAAAATTTATGTTGATTGAAATTTATTTTTCCATATATTAAATTTTGAGCTAATTAAAATTTATTTTTTTTACATATTTTAATTTAAACCGATTAAAATTCGATTCGAGCTGATTAAATTTTATTTTTTTATGTATTAAAAGTTGAGCCTATATAAAATTCTTTTTTTTTAACATATTAAAATTCGAACCAATTTGAGTTCTACCTAAGTTATTAGTGCCGATTAAATTTGTTTCAAGTTGATTAAAAATTATATTTTCTTACTTATTAAAGTTCGTGTAAATTAAAATTCAATTTAAGTTAATTAAAATTTATTTTTTACGTATTAAAATTTGAGTCGATTAAAACTTATATTTTTTATATTTCAAAATTCAAGCCGATTAAAATTTAATGCGACTTGATTAAAATTTGATTCAACTTGAATAGATTTTAATCGATCGGCTCAAAGTTTAATATGTGAAAAAATATAATTTTTAATCAACTTGGATGTTAATACGTAAAAAATGAATTTTAAGTAGCTTGAATCAAATTTTAATCGGTTCGAAAATTTAGAAAATAGAGAGACTCTCATTGAAAATATATTTATCTAAATGTGGTGTGGGTGAAGTTTTTTCTAAAATACAGTGATGAACATACCTCATCCTCATACCCGAAACATTTGCACCTCACATCCTTTAATTTATGACGAAAAATTAAACAATAGTTTAAATCATGTCTACGTTACTACCAATTCATAATATTAATAGTATAAATTAAGATTTTTAATATTTGATAATATAAATTGAGAATTAAAACATACTTGAAAATTTAAAAATGAGATTAACCCCAAAAAAAAAAAATTAATATGGAGGGGATCTGAATCCTACTCGAATATCATTTGAAAATGCCCTGAATTTCACCTCTAATAAACATGTACATTTTCTCTCTCACCGTGCAATTGACTATGTTGTCGTGTCCATAGCCATAGACCGTGGAGGATTACTATCCACACATAGCCTTAGTCGCGGTTCAATGCATTGCCGTGTTACGGATGTACGATGAGACCAAGGTCCAAAACCGTATAAAATTTAAAATAAGAATATAAATAAATTAAATAAAAACTAAATATGAATAATACGATTAGTTTGTATTATTAACAAAAATAGGTATTCTATAATATTTTTTTTTTAAATTTAAGTTTTTATTGACATCAATACAACATGATAAGAACCGAAAATGATATGACACGATTGAAAATGATACGATACGAAAATGACGAGACATAATTGACAAGCTTAAAAACGCGTTATTGTGTCTAATTTGTGTATAACGTGTATTTCAAAAGTATTTTTCTAATTGTTAGTAATAATTGTTGTTAAAATTCTCAAAATGAAATACATTTCCATTGTTAGTTTGAAAAATATTTCAGGGAGATCCTATTGCTCTTTTGACTTCAATCTACACAAGTTTGGCAACAAATCAACCACTTTGATAGATTCCTTTGGATATGCATTGACTTGCTCTTAGACTTGTTCAATGGAGTTCATCATTTAATTCTCTTCCATTACTCAATCCATCAAAAACTTATTTAATTATTTTTATTCTTAGATATCTATGTGCTACAATCTTCTTGATTATTATGTTTAAATATATATACTGAGCGTCGTCTAATTTAGCTCTTATATATATACATTGAAACACACATATAAAGAGAACATTTTCACGTAGATCATTCTATGATCTTTTATCCCACACTACTAATGATGAGATTCAAATCATAGCATATACTCTTTCATAGTCTTACGATTTAATGCTATGCCAAGATTCAAAAACCATGTTCTTGTACATTTTCGTATCCATCAAACCCAGATTCAGATATTTCTCAATATACTTATTTTCTCTTTAATTCTCTTATTGACACATCATTTACTATTAATAAGTGAAGGACTCACTTGAATACATGGTAATGTATAGTTCAAGGGATCAAAGTGTAATTTGCCTCTCTTTTTGCGGGGTGATTTTTTTTTTTTTTGGGGGGAGGGACTATGCCTTGGGGTTCAAGTTTGCTCTCTTTCTCTGTCCTCCTTTCTTTTCTTTTTCCCTTTTTTTTTGACTGGAGACCTTCAAATGAATGAACTAACAGTTTTTGTTTTTTTTGTTTTTGGTAATTAAAAAAGATGACCAGTGGAGACTGCTTTGGCAGCTGGGTTGGCTCTTCATGAGTTTATAGGCCTTAGTTAAGGTTTAATTGTAGTCAATCTTTGGGATTTTTTTAGTGTTATAGTCAAAATTAAGCATGTCTCTAGTCAATGTTCAACTCATTTGCATCTATGGCACTTTCATGGTTGCGTGCAATAAGATGTCAATGGACCATGTAGCAACCCATTCAAATGCTTAATTGATGCTTGTAGCACATTTCATTGTCGGTACAATGTTGTTGAAGAGGTCGTAGGTATACATAACTATTTTTATGGCGTTGACTTATATATATAAAATGTTATGTAAGTAAATTGCATCGACAAAAAAACCGGCCCAAATATGTCTACTATAATCATTGCTTATCTGCCAGAATGCAAACACATAGACTAAAGTTCATCCGATGCGAGAATATTAATTGTCTCCACCTATTCGACAAATCTATTTCCACACATTAAATGCCTTGATTAATTAGCAGCTTGGGCTTTCTCGCCCCCCCTCCCCCAACAAAACTCCCCTTTTTTATCCATCCCGGTATTGGTATTAGTTACGTGTGCTTACCTTAATTTAACCCTTCACTTTCATTCTATAGGCAACTCTATTTGTTGTGGGGGGGGGGGGGGTTCTTACTAGTCCATGCCTATCACAAGCATTAAGCATGAAAGAGATATTAAATATATTATGGCTGAAAAAAATAATAAAAGAGGAACCAAGGTAGAAAATAGTCGACATTTGCATGAGGACAACCATGAGTCCATTGCAAGTCAACAAACTCGATAGGATTAAGATAAATTACATACGAATAGGATTGGATTATAGATCACTGAAAAAGTCTTTGATCCTCCCCAAATTGTGTATTAATTGGATTAAGGTAAGCTCCATCTAGTATTGTGAATGGCCAAACAATCGTATTCGATCCTCCCCAAATTGTGTAATAACAGGACTAAGGTAAGCTATATCTAATATTGTGGATGGCCAAAAAACAAAAGGAGATTAACTAAGGTAGTAGGTGTTTTCTATGGTCTATAATAAACAAAATCTATTGAGTGTGTGTGGGCTTCATTCCAACTTTGAAAGAGCACTTTAAATGTCTTTTAGTCACTATCAAATGTAAAAAGGAACACACCAACCTAATGGAAAAAGAGTAAAGTAAGGATTCATCCAATAAAAAAGGTTGCCCCTTCTTTTTACTCTCTAACAAGAAAATGTGAAGATTAATATATTCAAACTTAAGCTAACAACCTCTTTTTTTTTTATTCTTCTTCTAATGGTTGACTTCCTAGGATTTGACTAAGGTGTTGACCTCAAATCATTTTCTAAATCACCTTATTTTTAAAAAAATTTCCAACTTCATCGAAGTTTCAATTTTTTTTTCAATCTTTATCATAGTTTTTAACTATGCTTAAACTATCGTTATTTCTATAAAAATGTGGTTTAAACTCACGTTTTCAGTGTAAAACAGTGTTTACAAAACATGTAAACAACGATAATTTAAAAAATAAGTTAAAAAATATTGGATAAATATGATTATTAAGTATGAAAAGGACAGTAATTCAAGAGAAAACATTTTTGGGTTGGGGGGGTAGGGAACAGGTCATTTCTTATGGCCAAAGTTTCCTCACCCACTCTCCTTTTGACTAAAGACCAATGGACTAACAAATTACTTTGATTAGATACGTGTTTATTGAATAATAGTGGACCTACTCATATGATAAAACTATGTCACATCATTTAGAATAAAA